TACACTCATGAAAATCATCCCAATCTTCAGTTGGTAAGTGGAATTTCACAATGGAATTAGATTGGGCTTTGCACTTGGTCCAATTATAAAGTTTGAATGAGAAACTTGTTTGTGAAGTAAGCTTGATTTGCTCGTGTAATTCACCATTATGTGCCAAACCAAATTGTGCATTTTGTTCATGAGTACAATGTGAATAAAATTGGATCAAAAGGAGACATGTAAAGGACTTATAATGTATTCAATTCAAATCATGATTTAAAGTCCATTTTCCACTTGAATTTTCACCCATATGTCCATAATCCATCATGATTCATGCAATCCTTGGGCTTCATGGTGTAAAAGAGGTCATTTGGAGCAACTTTCATGTTGGTTGAAAGTTCATTTGAAATGCACAAGTACATGAAAATGACCTATAATCAAACTTTCCCAAAATACTCTTGCCTTGTAAGGTCCATAACTTGAGCTCCACAAATGATATCAATGACTTCTAGGACTTTTTGGAAAGCTAAGATCATAAGGAACAACTTTCATGTTTACCTCAAGTTGAGGAGAAACTTGATTCTAGGTCAAAAGTACCTTGGAAGTGAGTTGACTTTTACGGACCAAAATATATGTTCATCTGAGACCCCTAACTTGATGGCATCATAACTTGAGTTCCACAAACCCAATGAATGAGTTCTAGTACTCAAAAGAAAGCTTAGAACATACCCTACAAGTCTCATGTTTGTATAAAAGTGTGATTGAACTTGTATCATAAGGTAAATTGTCCTTGAAGTTAGGCACTAAAAAAGAGGATTTTGCACTGAGACCCTCTGAAACCCTAATTTAGTAACTTCTCCAACCCTTGATTCTTCTTAATTTGAACATCACATGACATCCTAGATGCCTCAAGATAACTTCCCATGACTTTAATGACTTAAAACCAAGTCTCAAACTCTCTCAAGCCCACAGTTGATCCTGAATTGACCAGATGAAACCCTAAGTGCACATCCTTTGACTGTGACCTCTTGCAGATGAAATGAAACCCTAGGTAAGCTCCACAATGGCTTCCAAAGCACTCAATGAGCTTTTCCAACATCTCTTATCCATAACCATGAACTTGTGAACCCCTGATGATCCTCTGTTGACCTCCAAGATATGAGATAAGCAACATACACCAATCCTCTCTTTCAAAGAGTTTTGACCACTTCCTAAGGATTGTAAGCACTTGACACCTTGAATAAGCACTCATGCTTGAGCTTGGCACCCTTGAGATCCTTCCTTTGAATAACACACCTCTCTCGCTGCAAAGGACAATGCTATGCAAATGCAAATGCTAGAAAATGAAATGAAACATAAACCAAGTAAAGAAAAAGGGTTGGTCAAATTTTGGGGTACAACAAAATGCACATAAATCCAAGGGGTACCACCTATAGATTTAGCCAACAACACTTGTTTTGATTCGTTTTTTATTTCTTATTTAATCGAACAAATAATTGTATATATTTGTATCTCAATATAAATGAAGTGTTACATATTCACTTTTTATTCATATGATTTTTATGCATATTTGGTTCATATTCGGTCTTAATATTAGCGTCTGGTATATGGTTCTATTTTGGAAATGGTTCGGAGAAAGATCTGGAGATACATCTCTAAAACAAAATTATAGGGTGCGCTTCTAGAGTTATATCTCCAGAATCAATATGACAGTTAATGAGGGGTCCTATTGAACTAGGTTTTCTATAAATTTAGGTGTTGTTGTGGTATATTTCACACAAACTAAATGTCTCAAATGTCACAAATAGACATCCGCTGGTATGTTGCAAATGTATCCTACTCCGAAGGCTCTACACCCAGCCGATCATTCAAGCTCACTGATCTCACCCCCTCAAAGATATCCTAGAGAAATACAATATCTCCTACATTACAGAGACAAACGAAGGATTGTGAAGTTTGAGTATCGTTCACCTTTAGTTGACAACGAAGAGAACATCGTGTTCAACAAATATGAGCTCAAAACTCTAGAATGTTAGGGTTATGTGGCATATGTATTTCGATTTCGAAGAGAAAGTTTCGCTCAAGTTGGAAGCACCGCTACAAAGATCGGTTGAAGATGTCTTGAAGATGTGCAAGCGTCTACCGGGATATTGAAATGTAATATTTAATTTTTTGTTGAAATCATCATTGTAATAATCATTTTATATTATGAATGTCAATTGCATTTTGAAAAGTTCATTTTGTGGTGAATCTGTTTCTAGTGTTTTTCCAAAGATGTAACTACGGACTTGTTTCAGAGATGTATCTCCGGAACAAATTAAACCCAACACATGGGACGCCTTTCAGAATGGCCTTGGTTGAGTGTGTAAAGGGTGCGTCCGGAGATATATCTCTGAAAATAGAGGGCATTAGTGAAATTTTGCACTATGCAGTAGAAACATATAGGGTGCAATTAGGGCTGGCAATGAACCAAACCAACTCGAACATAGTTCGAAGTTCGATTCGATAACTAAATCGTTGAACTTGGTTCATGAACCAAATGAGCTGAATATGAACCAAAAATTAAGTTCGTTAACTAAATGAGTTGAACTTGAACTATATATATATATATATATATATATATATATATATATATATATATATATATATATATATATATATATATATATATATATATATATATATATATATATATATATATATATCTACATACATATATATATCTACATATCTATATATATATATATATATATATATATATATATATATATATATATATATATATATATATATATATATATATATATATATATATATATATATATATATATATATATATATATATATATATATATATATATATATATATATATATATATATATATATATATATATATATATATATATATATATATATATACATACATATATATATCTACATATATATATATATATATATATATATATATGTACATACATATATATATATATATATATATATATATATATATATATATATATATATATATATATACATATATATATATATATATATATATATATATATATATATATATATATATATAATGTTTTTAAATTACATATCTTAATAGTATCATTTAAATTAATGCATAGATTTTAACCTTTTAACTTATCAAATTTTTTTTTCTAACTTATAAAAAGAAACATATACACGTGAAGGTTGAAAGGGTGTAAATTGTAATCATTATATGATGAGAATGTATTAACTTTTAGTAATTTTTGTTATAATATTTTATTAAAAGTTGTAAGGTTCTTAATTATTTAGATAAAATTGTAAGGCAAAATTAAATTCTAATTGAGTAATTTTTAAATTAGAGTTTCAAATGTATATCTTGAAGATTGATATTTGGTAGTTTTTTATGTTGTATTTCTTTGGAGACAAAGTTAAATTTTTAATTTGATAAATTTTATATTAATTCAGTATTAATTTAAAATGTCAAATAGAAAAAAATAGATTTTAAAAAATGACTTTTAAGTTCATGAATCATACAAGATGAACCTAATGAGATGAACTTAACGATCTGAACCTAATGAGATGAACCTAACGAGCTGAATCGAGTTGTTCGTGAACTTTAAACGAGTCGAGTTTGAGCTTAAAATAAAATTCGTGTCGAACTCGAGTCGAGTTTCGAGCTGAACATATTCTTATCGAGTCGAGTCGAGCTAAGACAAGTTCGACTCGACTCGACTCATTTCCAACCCTAGGTGCAATAAAAAATTTCCAAATAGAATCCTGCAAACCCAAAGGCATGCTTCGACCATCAGAAATATCAAAATAGAAAGAGGATTTCTTAATGCACCTTATAGATTATTTACACACCGCGTGAAAATATAATAACACCCTCAATTTTCAAAAATACATCTTCAGATGCACCTCATACACATACAATTCATTCGTATTTGAGCTACGCCTATTTTTATGACTGAATTTATTCCGGAAATGAATTTCTTGAATAAATTTAGTCAGTGTCTCAAAAAAAAAATCATGTGTTTGGAGTACGTTCAGAGATGCATCTCTAAAATCTAAGGGCATTACTATAACTCATTCGCTTTTGAACTACGCTTCAGTTTTATAACTAAATTTATTTCGGAAATGCATTTCCGAAATAAATTAGTCATAGTGTCTCAAAAACGAATGAATTATGTGTTTGTGGTGCATCCGAGATGAATCTCTAAAATATGTGAGTATTATTATCTTTTCTCGTAAATAATTTCATAAGGTGCATTAAATAACTGCCAAATAAAAAAAATGACATGAGATTTCTATGAACTTTGTAATAGGATTGTCTCTTACTCAAAAGGTTTGTGGCTCCATTTGCGTAGTCGTTGATAGATTGACCAAGTCATTCTATTTCCTACCTATGCGAACTACCTATGATGCTACCGATTAACAAGAATTTTAAAACTGCATGGAGTACCCATGATTATAGTATTAGACAAAGATCTAAAGTTCACTTCGTAATTTTAGAAAGCTATGGAGACAAGAATTAATCTTTGTACGACATATCACGCACAATTAGATGGTCAAATGAAGAGGGTCGTCCATACTTTAGAAGATATACTCCAGACTTGTATTATGGGGATGTAGGTAGCTGAAACAACCATCTTCTTCAATTAAATTTGTGTTTAACAACATTTACCACTCCAACACTTGTATGGTCCTCGGTTTCCCCCCTCTCTAATGTATTTTTCAGCAAAAGTTTCATCTTTTATAGCCTTTTTATGTTCTCATGTTGTTGATGGTGAGAATCAAGAGTGAAATGAGATAAGGATGAAGAATTAGGTTAACAACTTGGAAGTGGCTAAAAGAGTTAGGTTAACAATTTTAAGAATGTTTGAAATTTAAATGTTATTGTTGATGTTGAGGAAAAATAAGTAAAATCTGACACAATAATGTTTAAAAACAGAAGTGAACTTGGAATATGACTAGAATCATATTGATATTATAACTCTTTTTCCTCCTTCATCTATACAATTCCTCATAACAGAAGGTCATAATGGTTCTTACCGCTGAACAACAGCCTCACAGCTTTTCTGCTAGAACCCTTTACAAACTCACTTCCATACTCTGCAATGGGAATGAAACCAGATCCCCTGCCACCGCCTCTATGCTGCATTTTTAGTTTACAATAGAAACAACATGATATGTTAGCATATAAAATCTACCGCCTTATAAAATATTAATTGATAAATCTAAGTATTGTTGTTGAGGCATACCTCATGCTCTGGTATGTACACAATAATTGGCTGCTTACATAACTTTGATAATACCTGCAAGAATATGGATGACATAAGTCAGTATTTGAGTTTTTGCTCGCAGGGTTTTCACATCAGTTCAGATTGCATTAAGTTTTTTGTTTTTTTGCAACAAATGAGACAGTATTTAGTTAACTGTTATCTTTTGAATAATTTTTGTGATTTCATCTATTGAATCATTGATGCCGAAGCAATACAATGAACTTCAATATGTGATATATTTCTTCATCAGGTCTTTTAACATTCTCATCAATTCAGGTTGCATTCAGTTAAGTGTCATCTTTTGAATAATTTTTGTTATTGTGGAAAGCATGATTTCACCTATTGTTTTAACAAACTTCTGCACTAATGAAGGATATAGAAAGAAGTGTGGTTGATAAAACGCAAGCAGGACTTTTACGAAGACCACTAACCAATAGTTCCGATTCTCCTCCCCAGAAATCTGGTTGTACAATCCGCCTGCAGTAACTGCAAAATAACACAACCAATCATGGTGTTAGATACAAATTTAAAAATACTTCAAGATCTTCATTTTCTGTTAATGATTCGAAAACATACCGCTGTAAAGGCTCATCAACTGTGACAGCAATGATGGCTTCTTCATATAACTTTCTATCTCCTACATTTTCACATATAGCTTCTTTGACTGCCATTCTTAATTCATCTGTGTTATCATGAGCAAGTCAAAACATTTTAAAAGAAAACAAAGTAAATGGGAAAAAAATTTATAAGGCATAAAAGAAGGTAGGAAAATAAGTATCTCGGCTTAATAGTTGAACCAGCAAAACTATCATGCACAAGCCTTGTGTTACATAATGAACATTTTGTCAATTGAAAGCAAAATAAACAAATGAGTATCTATGTCTTCTTGCCAGTATATCAGCACACCTGCATTTTCTCTCTCCTCGCAATGGTTAAGAGCAACTCCTTTGTTGTAAGCCATTCCTTTCACCTGAAGAGTGGAATTAATTGTCATCATGCCTTTTATAACTTACATTTGTGTGATACAAATTGTAAGAGTTGTCCTACTTGAGAATGTTTAATATTTCAGAACCAGTCAGCATGTGTATGCAGCTACAAAGAAGGAAGAGAAGTGAATAAAATATTAAAATCTAACAGGCATCAAAAGATGGTATTTATCAGCCAAGAAGCAAGTGTGTTAAGAAATGTGGTTGAGTTTACTTCATCCCTACTATTGTAAAATATTTCACTGATAGAATTAAAAGTACTATTTACAATGTTGCAACTACATGCTTTAAATAAGAGAGAATAGAAACCCTAATGGGTTTGACTAATGGGCCTCATTACTAATACTACTAATTACTATTTACAGTCTAATATTTACAACACTCCCCCTCAAGCTGGTGAATGGATATCTATCATTCCCAGTTTGCAAGTAAGTTGTTTGAATCTTTCTGTTGGTAAGCCTTTTGTTAACACATCTGCGAGCTGATGCCCAGAAGGAACGTAAGATGTAGTTATCAGCCCACTATCCAACTTCTCTTTGATAAAATGTCGGTCAATCTCAATGTGTTTAGTTCTGTCATGCTGAACAGGATTATGAGCAATACTAATAGCCGATTTATTGTCACAAAACAATTTCATAGGGCCTTCACACTGTATCTTCAAGTCTTCTAGAACTTGTTTCATCCATAATAGTTCACAAATTCCTAGTGCCATAGCTCTAAATTCTGCCTCGGCGCTTGATCGAGCAACTACACTTTGCTTCTTACTCTTCCAAGCTACAAGGTTACCACACAGAAAAGTACAATAGCCTGACGTAGATCTTCTATCACTCACTGAGCCGGCATAATCCGCATCAGTGTAAGTCTTCATAGCTAAATTCTCACCTCTTTTAAACAAAAGTCCTCTCCCTGGAGTTGCTTTAAGATATTGTAGGACGCGGTCTACAGCCTGCAAATGTCTCACCCTCGGATCATGCATGAATTGGCTCACCACACTGACTGCATATGCTAAATCTGGTCTAGTGTGTGCCAAGTAAATCAATTTTCCCACTAATCTCTGATATTGACCCTTGTCAACTTTGTCACTTTCCTCCTCAAAGCTTATCCTGTGATTTTGTTCAATGGGAACACTTGCAGGTTTGCATCCAAGTTTGCCAGTTTCCTGCAAAAGATCAAGAACATACTTCCTTTGAGAGATAAAGATGCCTTGCTTTGAGTAGGCTACCTCAATTCCCAAGAAATACTTGAGTTGTCCAAGGTCTTTCATCTCAAACTCTGCCGATAATTTCTCTTTGAGCAAATGTCTCTCAGTCAAATCATCTCCTGTAACAATAATATCATCAACATAAACAAGAAGTACAGTCAATTTTCCTTCCTGTGAATGTTTAAAAAATAAAGTGTGGTCTCCTTGACTTTGCTTATAGCCCAAACACACCATTGCCTTTGTGAATCTTCCAAACCATGCCCGAGGGGACTGCTTTAGTCCATATAAGGCTTTCTTCAATTTACACACCTTGTTAGCTTCATTTGTTATGCCAACACCCGGTGGAATCTCCATATACACTTCTTCCTCTAAGTCTCCATGCAAGAATGCATTTTTAACATCAAACTGTTGCAATTCCCATCCACATGAAGCAGCAAGAGATAGTAAAATTCGAACAGTGTTCATTTTTGCCACTGGGGCAAATGTCTCCTCATAATCAATACCATATGTCTGAGTATAACCTTTTGCCACTAGTCTTGCCTTGTACCGATCAAGTGTGCCATCAGATTTATACTTTACGGTATAGATCCATCTGCATCCAACTGGCTTTTTGTCTTTTTGCCTTTCAATAATCTCCCAAGTACCATTTTTTTCAAGTGCTCTCATTTCCTCATCCATAGCTTGGACCCAATTTCTATTTTGCAATGCTTCTTCAACTGATAATGGGATTTTCACAGAATCAACAGCTGCAATAAAACTTTGATATTGTGTGGAAAGATGTTTAGTGGAGACATATTGAGAGATAGGGTGTCGATATAAGGAGGGACAAGATCTTTTATCCTTCCTCAAAGCAATGGGTAAATCAACTGGATTAGTGTCACAAGTATCAGAAATAGAACAATCATCATTTGAGGAATCATTTTCAGTACTTACCTCCGGTTCAGACGATTGAATTTGTTTCTGGAGAAGGTCAGATTTACTTCTTCTCTGATATACTAGAGTTGGTGCTGAAGGTGCTGATTCCTGTGGAACATAAGGCATTGAAGGACCAGGAACAATTACTGACTCAGATTCAGGTGTTGAACTAGGACTCAAACTCAAACTAGGTGACAACTCGGGTTCAAGAGAGGGAACACTGACAGGTGTTCTCGGGAGGCTAGGACCAAGGATCAGAAACTCGGACTCAGACTCTAAGTCACTCATGTTCTCCCCCTGAGACTGAGAATGAGTGAAGTATGACACATTTTCATGAAAGGTGACATCTTTGGAGACAAAGAATTTCCGACTCGGAGGATGATAACATTTGTACCCTCTTTTATTGGGTGCATAACCCAGAAAGATACATCTGACAGCACGGGGATCCAACTTGTTGCGATATTGTTTGTGAACATGAACAAAAGCAACACAACCAAACACGCGAGACTCAAGATTATGTAAGATAGGAACAGAGGGAAAACGTGAGAGCATAAATTGAGCAGGACTAATATTACCTAACACTCGAGATGGGACCCGATTAATCAGATAGGCAGCAGTAAGAACTGCCTCCCCCCAATAAGAGGTGGGAACAGACATTTGAAACAGGAGAGATCGAGCAACTTCAAGTAAATGACGGTTTTTTCTTTCTGCGACACCGTTTTGTTGTGGGGTGTCAACACATGTGAATTCATGAAGAATGCCATGTTTACTAGTGAAGTTGGAGAAGGTATGATTGACATATTCTTTACCATTGTCAGAACGAACTCTTTTTATACATTTCCCAAATTGTGTTTGTACCATATTATAAAATTGGATAAATATTTGTGGTACTTCGGATTTAGTATTCATCAAGAAAATCCAAGTTACCCGAGTACAATCATCAATAAATGAAACAAACCATTTTGCACCAAAAATATTAGAGGTAGGGGCAGGTCCCCAAACATCAGAATGAATCACATCAAAAGGTTCAGCACTTTTATTAAAACTGGAAGGAAAAGTTACACGATTGTGTTTTGCCAACTGACAAACATCACACTTAAAAGACTCAACAGAATGGTTTAAAAACAATGACGGAAACATAGACTTAATGATATAAAATGGAGGGTGACCGAGACGCTTGTGCTGAAGCCAAATGTGTGAGGCTGAAGAGGAAGACTGAGACTGGAGACAGGAGGACAACACCTTTGGATGGTCATCAGAGAAGTAGTATAACCCTTCCTTTTCCTTAGCAATTCCAATCGTCTTCCCCGTGGTAAGGTCCTGAAAAATACAATGGGACATAAAAAACGTTACTTTACAATTTAGATCACGGGTAAGCTTATGGATGGAAATCAAATTGTGGGAAAGTGTGGGAACATGAAGCACGGATTGCAATTGAAATGGAGGTTGCAAGTCAATATTTCCAGTGCCAACAACACAAGCCTGAGAGCCATCAGCAACAGTGATATAAGGAATACTCGAAGGTGTGGTATAAGAGCATAATAATGTGGAATCAAATGTCATATGATTAGTAGCACCAGAGTCAAGAATCCACGCATTCTTAGGGATATTACCACAAACAGTAAAAGATCGGGAACACAAACTCTTACCGGTAACTGCTAGAGACCCAGAACCAGAAGGCTTACTCATGGAGTCAAGCATAGACTTCAACCGTTCCACGTCATTCTGGCTGAAGGAGGAAAGATCAGTTCCCTCTTTTTCAAATCTGTCAGTATCATGGGCATGTGTGACAACATGTGCCTGATGCTGGTGCATGTTGCGAGAACTACCTCCTCGGCTAAGAACCTGTTCCCTTCCATGTAGTTTGAAACACCTATCCTTTGTATGCCCTGATCGGTTGCAATGCTCACAATAGAATTTGTCACGACCATTCTTAGATGATGACGATGGTGGTCCTTGTCTTGTTGTTTTTCTAGCTACTAGTGCTGACACATCCGGGGGCTGTTCATGAAGCATAGTTTGACGACGGGTCTCCTCACTACGAACAGTGTAAAAAACTTCATTAAGATCAGGAAATTTTTCCTTACCCAAAATCTGCACCCGAATGGGGTCAAATTCAGCATTAAGGCCGGCTAAGAAATCAAAGATCCTATCCCGCTCAACAACAGTATTCAAGGTGGCAGTATCCTTGCTGCACTCCATCTTCAAATTCTGATATTGATCCAACTCAATCCAAAAACCATTGAGAACTCCAAAGTAATCGTTGACCGAAAGACTTCCCTGCTTAGTGTTGAATATTTTCCTCTTTAAATCATAACAAGCAGACATATCTTGTTTCATGGAATAACTTCGACGTAGATAATCCCAAACTTCCTTTGCACTTGAGAGATACATGCAATTTCTACTAATTTCTGGAGATATGGAGTTCCAAAGCCAAGTAATAATAGCAGAATCATCTTTATCCCAGGAAGAGAAATTAGGAGCAGTAACCAGAGGAGGATTGCCTTCAATATGATCTAGCATGTCACAACATTTTAGAGTGTGTCTGATGAACTGAGACCATTGAAAATAATTTTTTCCGGTAAGCCAGTAACCTTTTTGAACGACAAAATCCTTAGCATTAAATGGGACTGGTGGATTTGTGGGAGGTGGAGGCGGTGGATTTGTGGGAGGTGGAGGCGGTGGATTTGTGGGAGGTGGAGGCGGAGGTGGTTGTTGGTTAATAATCTCGGCCATTGAAGGGACAATCGAGAGGAACAAACAGCAGATATGTATTGAATCACAAAGAATACAAAGAAACCAAAAAACAAGCAGTAGGGTTGCAATAGAACTGCAATAGAATGAAAAAACAGCAATGATCCAAACACCCAAAAAAACTGCAAGGATGACCGGCAGTGAAAAAAAGAAAAAAAAACTCCGTTACAACGGCGGCTAGGGTTTATGCGGAAGCGAGACCCCCAAAAAACAGGAGCTGAGATACCATATTGTAAAATATTTCACTGATAGAATTAAAAGTACTATTTACAATGTTGCAACTACATGCTTTAAATAAGAGAGAATAGAAACCCTAATGGGTTTGACTAATGGGCCTCATTACTAATACTACTAATTACTATTTACAGTCTAATATTTACAACACCTACAAAATTGGTTTATAAGGTGAGGATTGCTCTCACTTGTAAACACATATTTAGACCATACATTGTTTGATGTAGGACTCTCAACCCACACCTTCACGTCCAGAACTGGACATCTTGAGCATGCAAATAAATGGAGGGTGGTTCGATAGGAAAAACCTGGTAGCAGATGGTCCATTGAATCTTAAACCAGACTCTTGATACCATTGATACTATGTTAAGAAATATGATTGGGTCTAATTCATCCCTACAAAACCGGTTTGTAGGATGAGAATCGTCCCTTACTTAAAAGCTCATGTTCATGCCATATATTGTGGGACTCTTAACAATTGACACTGGAAACACGATATCAACACTAACAAGTCAATACCGATACCGGAAATAATTAAAAAGAAATTAATTAAACCTAATTACAAGTGTTGGTTTCAAACACCAAAACTGACTCGGACACTTTTTTCAAAGGTGTCGGTGTTAAAGAGCTCACCAGTGCACGAAACAGACACCGTCCATCCCCGGTAACCTTGTGAACTGAAAAACGTTCAAGTTTCTTCAGTGCTGCAGACTGTCCACCACTGTGAAGACAAAAACGAGAGAACAAACACAACTCATCAGAATTCTAAACAAGAATAAACCTAAAAACATATTTCAACCTAATTAACATGAATTACTCACATGGATGAACCAATTCTAGCGAAAAAGAGAGAGCTGGAACTTCCAGCTCCGAAGAAGCTTGAGTTTCGATTAAAAGGAGAAACAATGGACGGAAGTGGGGAAGAAACAATCTCAAATTTCGCTGTACCATCTCTCAATTGCTTCAGAACATGATTCTCCTCTAGTTCATGTTTCAACAAAAATATTAGCAGTGTTGAAAATTTAGGGTTAGAGTTAGTGTTGAGAAGTAGTGAAGTTACCGTTGAGAAGGTTTTGCGCCATGAAAATTGACAAGGAATTGCAACAGAAAGAAAACGATACTGCAGTAGACTCTTTTGCGTTCGTTCAAGATATTTCACCTTTTTTAAATTAAAAACTAAAATACATCTTTATTTTTAGATTTTATTTTAAGCTTGTATGATTTAACAATTTCATGCGTAATGCTAATTTCTGTTATTTGTGTTTACGGTGGGAATATGTTAGACCTAGTTAGATTTTATAGAAAAAAAATTAGATGGAAATAACATAAGAAATAGTTTTATATAGACATTTTTGTTAATTAAAAAAAAAATTCTCATTATAATCACAATCATCTCGTAAATTTAATTAAAAAATAAATTAAGTTTAAAATGAATTTAAAATTTTCTCTTTTATTATTAGATGTGTGTAAGAATATGAATTTAAGTATATACAAAAAGAAAATTGTTAAGTCTCAGTCTGATCTATGATCTATTATAGGTTGTTTTTGGTCAAACTAATTTATAGTTGATGGTTGTTAACGGGTAGCTTATAACTTATAGCTGATGATTGGTAGTTGATAAGTTAATTTGAATGTTTGATAAATTAGTTTTTACATTAATTAATAATTACAAAATAATTTAAAAAGACATTTTTAATTAAGAAAATTGTGATTTCATTATCTTATTATATTATATTATTAAACTAAATTATATTCGATAAAAGTAAATGTATTAATAATAATATATAAAACAATTTTAATATTAATATATATAAAAAAATTGAAGATATCATCAAAATATATTATATATAAGTTTTATGAGCTTTGCTATTTAGTATAAATATATTGACAACAAAATTTAATGAATAAAGAATCAGTAAATAATAAGTTACCAACCAGAACTATTTAAAATAATAAGAGTATAATTGAAATAAAAAGTCACAAATAGCTTTTGAAAAAAAAAACTAAAAGTTAGTTTAAAAGTTATAAGTTAAAAGTTAAAAAACAATTACTAAACAGAACTTTCTAATCAAAATGAGCTGAAAAGCTAAAAGTTCTTTTTTTGTTTTATCAAATAGACTCGTAGTCTTATTTTTAGGTCTGAAAGTCTTTTCGAAGACTTGTTTAACCTAATAGTCACCACATAAAGTCTATTGTATTTGAAAGACTCGTAGTCTTATTTTTAGGTCTGAAAGTCTTTTCGAAGACTTGTTTAACCTAATAGTCACCTCATAAAGTCTATTGTATTTGAACGTTTGTAAATAACCAATTATATTAATGTTTAAATAGACTAACAAATTAAAATATCAATAAAATTAAATGTTTATTTGCATTGACTTATTCAAATTTACATATTAATATAAGTTTTGTGATATTCAAATTTATATTGTTTATAAGATTTTTTTTAAAACTTATTTTCGTAAGTTCTTTAAAATAACAAAATTTTACTTTTTTATTTTAATTCAAAATACAAATAGAATATAATAATAATAATAATAATAATAATAATAATAATAATAATAATAATAATAATAATAATAATAATAATAATAATAATAATAATATTTATTTAAATAGGTTGGCTTGATAGATTTGAAAGGTTTTTTAATGGTTTATGACTTAACCTTTTTAACTACATATGTTTATGACTTAACCTTTATAACCTAACCTGAGTCTATATAGACTAGATCGTAGGCTCCTATTAGTTGATATGTCATATTCTCACCTTACTTGTATCTTTGGGACACATATTAAAAATATTCACAAATAAAAAATTTGTATCATAAAAAACAATAAAATTATTAATTATAAATTTTAATTAAATTTAAAATATAATTTTCAAAAAAAAGTTATTATATTTATCTCTTAACTTGTACCCTTGAAATACAAGTTAAGATTACTTACTTTATACTCTATTGTACCCCCACAGTCTAAATAAAAGATTAGCAAACATTTATAAATTATTTCGAAAGAAGAATACAAAAGGCATTGTTTGAACTAATATATTAATAATTGGATCAAATTCAATTAACATTTCAAATTCAAAAGATTGTCATTTTTTATTTTAATACAATATTTCATCTATAATATAAAAAAATTAAATGTTTGTAAAAAAAACTCTCATTTGACCTTCCCTCTAAATCTGCCACCTTAAATCTGCCAACTTTTTAAAATGGAGGCAACTTTGATCTAAAAATTACTTTCTACAGCTAAAAATGTTATATTGTTCAATTTCAACTAATGGTTTATATTTCTTCTACTTTCTTTATGTTATCTCATGTGTATCCAACTATTTGGTTCCAAACCAATACTACTTCAATCCTACTTTTTCAACTTTTCTCTTCCGTCTATGTGTCATCACACCACAATTATGCATATCTCTCTCTCGCTCAATAGGATTTTCGAAACCATCTCTCTTCATTTCTTGGCTCTACAAAGGAATTCTTCATCACCCTCTTTCTTACAAAAAATTTCATATATCTTTCTTCCAACTTCTTTGAACACAAATCTCACTCACATTTCTCTTGCAAACAAAATTTAAAAAAAAAAACATGGACCAAAGTGAAATCAAGAAGGAAAAATTGAGTATCAATCGTAATAGGGGATATGGTCGTGGATCTGGCGTTTTTGGCGGTTTTACTGCAATGTGTGGCTTCACGGTGGCAGACTTGTGGTGACGAAAACATATTTCTGATAGCGAGTCTGGTGGTGTCAGATTCGAACAATTAAGCTCAAGAATTTTGTATTTTGAGGGTGCACTACACGGTTTTGAAATTTATGGTGGAGCCTTGGGTGAAGATAGTAAAGCAGCAATCGAAGGATATGTCGACTCTGATTATGCAGGTTGTATGGATTCCAGAAAATCTATCTCTGGATATGTGTTCACTATGTTTGGGACAACAATCAGTTGGAAAACAACACTTCAGAAGGTCGTTGCCTTATCAACCACTGAAGCAGAGTATATTTCCCTAACTGAAGCTGTGAAGGAAGCATTGTTGCTTGAAGGTTTTGCAGAGGAGCTAAAACTTCAAGGTCGAGTTATCACTGTTAAATGTGATATGATCACCAAGACGTTGCCCAGTCGCAAGTTTTTCCAATGTATGCAGTTAATAAAGCTGCATGAAGAAAGCTAGTTTCTTGATGTTATAGAGTTAGATCTAAGGTGGAGATTTGTGAGATGTTGGATCAAACTCTAGTATGGTCGAAGTATGTTCGCGAGTAATGCGTGTTGTAGTCGAAGTTTGTTCTAACATGCATTAGTCAATATTGCTAGGGTTGTTAACATGTTGAATTTGGCCTTGCTTGTAAGCCTAATTGTTTAAATGGATAATTGTTAAAAACCCATTAGGTTAGTGTGCTATTTTTCTTATAAATAGGATACTAGTTTCTCAATCTTGACATAAGAAAAAATAGGAAGATAAAATCATAATTTCAAGAGAGGGAGAGGTTATTTTGTTATTCTTGTATAATTGTAATCTTTGTTGTTTTACATTGCCTTTTTTATTAACCCTAACCCTTGTGTGTTTCTTGATCATTTAGAAACCGTTTATACTTTGTATAAGATATCCGATTCACAACATGTATTTTGAGGGTGCACTTCACGGTTTTGAAATTTTTAAGAAGTGAACTTTTTGTTTTCATTCTTTTTTCTAATATATTTTGGTCAATCTTTCCATGATTTGTAAACACTTTTATTTTAAGTTGTCCTCGTTTAAGGTTGAAGTTGATGTCAATGAGAAGGAGAAGATCAATGAGGAGAAAATTTTGTATCAATAGTTAGATACCAACTGAATTTGTTAATGTGCAGCAAATGTGAGTTTTCTTTTTCTTTTTCCTATTTATATGATAAAAACAAGTCCATTATTATTTCTTTTATTTTCATATCTATGCATTATATGCTCTACTACTATAATTGAGTTTATACTAACTTTGATTTTTATGTTTTATCTTTTTGGTTATTATCACTAATGTTATGTTAGTGGTTTACTATTAATACTGATTCTTCTATCCACCAATCACACCATCACTTTTTAATATTAATAATTCTTGTTTACACGATTTTATATAAAGTTGATAAAATTAAATATTCAACACAATTGTCTAGCTTTGCTAACTCAACAAACATCTTTTACTATTTTTTTGTTAGTGTTTTGTTAACTAGATTCATTTAACCTTTCTTAGTGAATTGAAATAACCTTTCTAACCTCTTTTCCTACACAATTGTCTAATTATATAGAAGAACAGTTTTATAATTGATTCAAATATTTTTATAAATGTTATTAAAAATAAAAATAATATTTATATACGAGAAAAAAATATATTGTTGATTCAAATATTTTTATATACAGAAATAATTTTACTATTGATTAAAATATTTTTATAAATTTTGTTAAAATAAAAATAATATTTATATAAGGAAAAAAATGCATAATTGATTCAAATTTTTTTATATACAGAAACAAATTTACTATTGATTTAATATTTTTATAAATATTGTAAAAGCAAAAATAATATTTATATACTGGAAAAAAAAATATATTATTGATTCAAATATTTATATACGAAAATAATTTTACTATTTATTTAAATATTTTTATAAATATTGTTAAAACAAAACTAATATTTATATATAAAAATATATATATTGTTGATTCAAATATTTTTATCCACAGGAATAAACTTATTGTTGATTCAAATATTTTTTTAAATAATGTCAAAACAAAAATTATATTTATAAATCAAAAAAATAGATATATTGTTTATTCAAATATTTTTATATATTAAAAAAAAACTATCATTATTATAAACGGAGAGAAGTTTACTACTATTTCAAATATTGAATAATAAAAATTTATCGATAATTTTTTTTCAAATATGTATAAAAATTAAGGGAGCTTTAAAAAAATTCAGTGTATATTTTAAAATTGTATTCTTTCATATAGAATAATTGTTTTATTTGTAAAATCCTAAAACGACTGATTTATCTAATACGAATTTTAATAGTTTTTATCTTTAATCATATTATTCATAATATTGTTGTTTT